TACCTGGTTCCATTTCACAATCATCAGCTCCTTCAGTCACTTTGACTTCAGCTTGATTAAACTTGGTTAATTCAACCTCCCTTTTAACATTTACCGGAATTTGGCCTTTGTTGTTCCCAAACGTCATTTTATCAAAATTAACTACACATATCCTCGGTAGTAAGCAGTCCAACCCTTGGATGCATTGGTCTTCAATGTCAGCCAAGTATACCTTGTGTCTGTCCTTCATGCCCATGAGCTCAATAGTTACCCACACTGGTCCCCACAACCTTGCATAATGTCCTGTCATACCACAGAGCTTATGTATGGCTTCTGGTACTCCTTTGTGATCCAGCACCTTGATACTCACAGGGTTTACTGAGATGCAGAATTTATGACAAAGTTGCACCTTTGGCTATCCAGCTTTCCTGTCACGTAGACACTATGTGTGCTTGCCATTTTACACTTAGCTGTTGGAACTTTCACAATGGGGATTGGTGGGCGTCCCTCAGCATCAACCACTACTGGTTTCCCGAAGTTGATTTAAGGAGAGCAAGGACATATGAGGAGCCAGTGTAAGAATAATACTACCAACAGTTTCAACAACCTTTCTGGGTTGCAGCCTTTCCTGCCATGGCATCTCTCTGTGTTGAAGTTGCCGGCATTGAGCTCTCTTGTGCCCAAGTTTGTTACAGTATCAGCAAAGTCCCTCAAACTTCTCTGAAAGCTGTCGTTTTTCTGGCCTTGAATCCTGATGACTGTACCAATCTTAGTACATCTGTGCTGGACTTAACGAAGGATTCGAATTCAAGAGCTGTGGCCATTGCATCCTGCACAGTAGAGGGGTGTGCTTGCTTCACTTGTATCTTAAGTTGTGGACTGTCCAAGGCATCTACAAACTGATCCCTCAACAACAACTTGAGGAGATTGGGTAGCGAAGTTGGGTAGGCCTTGTGTGCCATACTTTCCAAGTCCTTTGCCAGCTCTTGCAGACTCTCCCCTTTAGCACGGACTCTAGTCCTAAACCTAGCTCTGTAGACTTTGGACTGATTTTGAGTTCCATACCTGAGCTCTAGAGCAGCTACCAGTGCTCTATAGTTGTGCCTTTCGTCTACTGAAAACTGTCCAAGTACTTCCAGTGGTTGTCTCTTCAAGCTCGTTGCCAGGTACACTGCCTTCTGCTCCTTTGTCCTTCCATTTATTTCTGCCAGTAGCTCAATCTGTGCTCTATACGCTTCCCATAGTGCCTTCCCATCAAATTCCTGTGGCTTCTTTCGTACTAAATCATCCCTATTGCTGACACTCATGTCTAGAATGTGGCTTCTGACAGGACTGAAGATGTCTGCATTAGGATTTAGCTGCGGGGTCTGGAAGGGGCTTCCTGTTGTCTGGGGCTGATTAGGCTCATGGGTAATATATCCTCTTTGTGTAAAAGACAGTAAATCGTCCTTTAATGTATTTAATTCACTTTGAAATTTACTAATTGTTTTCCATTTGTCTTCTTGCCACTGTTGTTAACTTTCCTGTTACTGTTGGAGACTTTCTTTTTGTTTCCTTTCTTGTTCCATTTGCCACTGCTGTAATCTTTTATCTTGTTTATTTTCTTTCTCCTCCAACCACTGCTGTAGCCTCTCTTCTTGTTTATTTTGCTGTTCGAGCTGCCACTGTTGCAGGTTTTCTTGCCACTGCTGTTGTCTTTCTTCTTGTTTATTTTCTCGTTTTTCTTGTTTCTTTTATTTTCTTCCAACAAATGCTGTAATTTCTCCTCTTGTTTCTTTTATTTTTCCTCCAACAACTGCTCTAATCTCTCTTCTTGTTTCTTTTCTTTTTCCTCCGACAACTGCTGCATACTCTCTTCTTGTTTCTTTTCTTTTTCCTCCAACAACTGCTGTATACTCTCTTCTTGTTTCTTTTCTTTTTCC